TGACAAAATTCTCCCCTAGATAATAGGACTATTTTTTGTGACTCTCTCTCCCCTCATTCAAGGCCACCCACGTCGACCGAAGATTGTTGACTTTTGCCTAACCGGGTGAAGGGAGTCACTTACTTTATAAAATACCTTTTAAAATAGGGCCAGGCAGGTTTGGATAGCTTTTTTTAAAAACCTTAATAAATTCATTGATTAAAAAACTGCAATGTGCATTTCCTCAAGTTAATTTTATCTAATATTAAAATATGAGTAGTTCTTTAAAGCCAGGTTTACAAGTGGCTCATTTATGTACTAACTTTTCTCTTTCCACTATCCCTTCAGACAGTCTTTATAGAAGCTGTAGCTACATAAAAGAACAATGGGAATACTGAAGACCTCCTGACTTACCTGACAGCAGAGATCCTCCTCTGATCTGGAAGCCATTGAGTCTGTGAGTGAAGCTGAAAACAGCAGACAGGAAGTACAGTCAGTCCTGGCTCCCCTCCCTCCTCTACCACCTTCACTGAAACTTCCTTTGAGTCGTGTTTTTGCTCAAACTCACATTCAGTGTGTGCAGCTTGAAGCAGCAGCGTTGGAGTTTTCCACTTTTCTCTCCTGTAGCTGGACTCACTCAGAGGAAGCTGCTAGTTTGGCCTGAGCTCAGTCTTATCGTCTGTGCGTCTCTCTGCACTGAGGAACAACCACAGGGTAGAGACTCATTCAACTACACCCACGTGTGTGTTTCATTCCAGAGCGTAGCTGTTTGTCTTCTTAAGACAGGTCAAAACATGTAAACTTTTAAGAAGCCAAGAACACAGAGTGTCCTTCAGTGGTGTAGTGTATATTCCACAGCAGCCACAGGCACAACTATGAGTTTGTTCTATTGGGATCTGTCACGCATTAACACACAAAGGTGTTCTCTCTTTGTATCTCAAGCTGTCGTTCAGCCTTTAGGACCCTTGATGATTTTCTTTTTTGCTAATTTAATCAGAAATATTTAATCATGATGCTGTGAATCCTTTTAATAACAGAACAAAGTTTAAAACAGGCAAACCTTTTCTTTTCTCAAAGATATTTTTGTTTCCCCACCTTTTTTTGACTCTATGCACCAGCTGATGATCACTTACCTGTTCCTTATGCTTTAATGAAGCCACTACTAACCAGAGTGGTGGATCTTCACTGGATCGTTGAACTGCTAATAGTTAGCGTAACATGGCGCTGATGCTTGTTTTCTTGTTGCCGTCATGATCCGGGTGAGTTTCGGTGTTTTCCACAGAGTCAGCAGTTCCACCTCTGGGAGGGGCCATTCATTTCATCTGTTGACATATAACACCAGCACTCTCCACTCCTCTTCACCAGAGTCTCAGCTAACCAAAGTTAATGTAGGTCACAATAGTATTTGTGAGCCGCTTAAGTGAATTGCATTGTCTTACCTTGTGATACTCATTTATAGTAACTCTCCAGATGCAAACCTTCCCCAGAAAAGCTTCATTCAGAGGCAGGACTTCTAGACAGTTTTCTCAGCCATGGCTTTGCTCGCCCTACGCACCCGCCTGCCTCCCTGCCTCAGCTTCTGGAGTTCTGGATTCCTCCCCACCCACTCGGACAATTCTCCCCTCCATGCTACTCCTCCACCTGCAGCAAGTAAGCATCAAAGGAACACTCTAAACCACAGTCAGCCAGCATTTTCCTGGAACAATACCTGAACTTATGTTATTTCCATATCAGGGAATCCCCATGAACCAGCCATCCAGTATGTCTACACCCTTTTTGGCCACAAAGTCATAGAAGTGTCATTTTCACTGTCCAAGTTTCTCTGATTGCTTTCATAGCTCAGGTTGCATATGTACTTCACAGTTTTGCATTATTCATAGTTTATGTTCATTCCCACAGTTCACGGTTTACTTGTCTTGTGCATTCACTTGTTTCTCTAAATAAATTTGGTTACTAAACGTTTACCAGTGCCTCCGTCCGAATCCTACATTTGAGTGCTTTTTCTCTGAGTCAGCCATAGGCCTGACAACTGCCTCTAGAAGCTGTCTCATTTTTATATGTGTGTGTGTGTCTGTGTGTGTGGGTATCTGTGAGTGTGTGTGGGTGCAGGCATCTGTCTGGACTCGTTTTTGTTCTGCACTACAGTACTGATTAAGAGCAGAAGAAAGAGACGGATGGTGAGTGGGGCGGGAGGGGGGTAACTGAGTTAGTAACTAAGTTACGTACAATATTAGGTTAAGGTTCAAAATATTGGGGATGGACACCAGAGGAAAAACCCACAATAACAACACTGGTCCGGTCGGGTTGAGTCAAACGATGATTTAATGATCACACACGTGGGAGATGGACACTGTATGCAGACAGCCTCAGATCTCATCTCAAAAAACACATCATCATAGTTTTATGAAATCAGGGTATTAGAACGCCCCTTCATGCGTAGTGACAGGTGTAATACAATCAATGTTGACAATTTTATTTAACACAAAGAATAACATTGTCTCCTTCCCGAGGGCAGACGCTGACTGCCCCCCGTCTCCTGGAACCGTCTGTACCCTGCTAAGACACAACATGGCAGCTACAAGGACTCTTTCATTTGTTAAGACCATCAGTGTGTATTGCTCTAAATCAAGTATATAATATTAAATGAATATTGCTGGATCAGCTACTTCTACTTAAAACATATTAGAACATGACTAAGCACAAAATCACCAAGAATAACATCTTATAAGTGCTGTGTAAGCGCGTGCGGCCTTCCAAGCTCAAAGCCTTTGCCCTCCATAGATCAGCCAGACATCACGCTGGCTGTAGCTTTTAACCTTTAATCAACTTGAGCACAACTCTAGAATAAGCAACAAACTGCAATGTGTATGGAATGATCATGGTTACATCTGCAATGGAAAATCATGTTATTATTCTGGTACCTGTAAGGAAAAGATCAAACTAAAGTTATAACAATCACTGTAATGCAAAGGATAATGTAAAGTCAAAAACTTCAATTTATGTTTAATGCAAAGCTGGTTATATACTTCTAATGAACTAATAATGCCATATTAAAATATTAAATGATAATGAGAAAAACATCCCCTCCTTATTTTACAGTAACTAAGTTACGTACAATATTATGAAAGTAAACAATTACTAGGGAAAGTAACAATTGCATTACTTTATAAAAAGGTTTAACCCTCTGGGGTCCAGGGTATAATTGGCCGTTTTCTGACCGTTTTCATTGACCTCTACATTTCAGGTTTAAAAGCTGTTTATCTTGTGTTGTTTGGTATCATTCTTTTCAGCACAACCTCACATCTAGTTTTATAGTTATTTTTTTCATTTTAATATACTCTATTAACACAACTGATTAATCCATCTATGTTCAGACAAAATTTCACAAACATGTTGAACGAATCATTTTCAAAAGTTCAAATGCAAATATAAATTGTACATTTAAAAAAAATCTATGCACAAGTTTAAAACTTGTGGTTTACAAAACTTTTGCAAAGTTATATGCAACTATTTACCTAAAAAACCTTTTTTTTTCAGAACCATTCCAAACTATTTACAGAACGATCAGGTGTTCTTCATCAAATAAGATCCCACAAAAATTATTTGTGCCTGATACCTGCAGACCTGACATCAGGAGGTGTATCGCTCCTCCTGTTTTCTGGCTTTGGTGGCTTCTTAGCAGCACCTGTGACATTCAACAGTTTCCTCACAGAGATTGCCATAGTATCTTGATGCTATGCCATCTTAAATCGGTCATGTGATTGGTTTACCCTGACTACTTTATTCTTCCTCAGCCAATGAGCAGCACTGCCTGCGTAGCTCCCGGTATGCTGAAGACAGCTTCAGCTGTCTATGTGTTGAAAAATAGTAACGCGTCTGCACTTGTTAGTAATGGCATGGCAACAATAGAAATAGTAATTTGTTAGATTACTAGTCACTGAAAAAAGTAACGCCGTTAGCAACACCATTATTCCCATCACTGGTGTTGGGTGTCACAAAATAACAGATTACACAAAGTACATTACTTTTTTCAGCGTTGCTTTAATGTAACATGTGATTGTACTAAATTCAGTAGTTAGTTACAATTACGTCGTTACAAAGGTACAAAGGTTCTTGTTTTTATTCGACAAAAGGACAAGAGCACAACTCTGAAGTGTAAAATGCATAGAGGACAGGTGTTCTCCAGACAGATCATATGTTAGAATGTTATTTCTATTTTAGCAGAAACCCAAGACTTTCAATGGTCAGCTGGTGTTTAGAACAGAGTTGAATAAATAACCAAAATTAACCCCCCAGAAATCTGATCATTTCTGCAGCAGTCATCAGGATGAATATGCTGGTCCAGATATGTCTGCTCCAAGTGAAAACACACTTCAGTTTAGAAAAAGTGTTACAATACGTATATTACAATTTAACATCGAGAATAATGGTGGCTGAAAGAGTCTTTCTTACTGACAGCAGTGAGACATCATAGTTAAATAAAACGGTCCAGTTATGAAGATTAACTTCAGTCTCAGCCAAAAGGATTTACTCAGGAACAAGTAAAAGACTGAATGAAAGAAAAATTAAAACAAGTTAGAAATCATCTAGGTGAATTATGTCATGTTTCACTTCCACTGAGTGGTGATGCCCAGAGGGGGTTTCTCACCGGGTCATGTCAAGCTCAGACATGTGCAAAAATGTCAGAGCACTTTTGTAAATACTGTCAATGTCTTACATAATTATGTTTTTATTGCAATTTAATAATTTCAATTTTAAGTGAATATTAATGTATTAATTGCTTAATAAATTATAACAAAATAATAAGAATATTATTATTATTGGTCCATGCAAAGCCTCACACTTTGAAGATCAAAGTTGATGGTGACAATAAATAAGATACTTAAGCTAGTGAACCTGATGAAACACTACAGCTATGACAACTCTATAATTTTGAACATCTTTAACATTTTCTTCAAGCATGTTAACAATTTTGCAGTAAACTGCCATACTGCAGTTTACTGCCATCCTATGGCCACAGTACATTATTGATGTTGCTCTGCAGAGTGTGTACCCTGGACACCACCTGCTTTTTAAAATAAGATAGCATTAACACTTTGAGTGTAGTTACAGTTAACAGTGAATATAAATGCTAAAACTGAATATATTGCATAGTGTTACCCCCCTCCACCATTTTCTTGTTTTCAGTAGCAAGCGATGCTTATGATTGTGCCAAAGCACATTTTGAACAACACCATGGGAATTTCGGATTTCACACAGGTTGTTACACTCTGGAAATGGAATGAAGGTGAGTGTTACTAACCCTCTGTGGCCCACGGACATCCTGCACCTCCAAATCACATGCCGAATTTAAGCTGACATAGCAACAAGCTGCAGCCAGGCTGGGTATCTATTTCAGCCCGTGTTGAAAGTTCGGACTTCAAAGAATACACCGATCTCTAACTTTTAATTACAGGCCAGTAGATCCAGAGTTATAATAAAAA